GTATACGAGTGCCCATTGATAAATAACCATAATTGTATTTTTCAGAAAACATCCAGCAACGAGATACTCAGCTATTCCGGCAACGTTTGGTGCCGTGTATTGAAATATTTGAAGCCAAAATTTGACCCGTAAAGTCAATGGTAGGATTTCTGTTTATCAACCGATCGCGCGCTACATGTAAATCGAGTTGATGATTGTTGTAAATTTACATTCATTTATATGACAATTTTTTTTTGTCTTTACCAGTGGCGTACCGTAGTGGGGGCGGCAGGGGCGGCCCGCCCCGGGCGGCACTTTTTAGGGAGGGGCAAAATTACCTTTTCGGGGGCGGCAAAATTTGACAATAAATAATACTAATATCTTGTAAAAATTTGAAACATCCTACTTTATACCTGCATTGCGCCTACGATAGTGCTATCGTCCGGACAGTCCGGGAATCTGCTCGCTGGGTTAACTAGTAACTTTTTAGTCCGAGAAATTCATACGAAACTTGTTGACTTTTTTTTTCTTGTACGATTCATTCGAGTTCATATACGTGGTGTATATGAACGCGAATGAATATCCAATAGAACTATTTTAAACAGGTCGCTGCACTAACACCGAATTTTTCGTTGCTTGTTCTGTGACAAAACTGAATTTTGTCACAGAACATTGAAATACCTAAATAAGGGGAACGAACTTTACTTTCCGCCCCAAGCGGCTGACACCCACGCATCTTGTGGCTGCACGCTAGTAGTTATAGATATGAAACTGTAATTAATGTTTAATGTGATAATTTAATAATTTGTAAGGCCGCTAATGGTCAACCTAAATCATGTAATTGGATCCGGAATCGCATTCGAGTAAGCGTTTCAGGAGTTCGTTATGCAATTTCTGTCCTGGACATGTCGGGCCCTAGCTACAATGTGAGCACTCGTTGTATGTAAAACTAGGATTTGGGAGTCGGCAGAATAATAAACGAATCCAGACTTTCGAGTCGGTATTTTTTAAAAAATTTGTTTCAAAAATTTTGATAGATGAAAAATTAAATTAAATATTAAAATATTGTTATTAATCAAAAATTTGTTCTGTCAAATCGTGTTGGTTCGGCCGAACAAACGAACGACTATACAGCTACCTTTTTCGAACATGCGTTCGAATATGGAAATGTTCGAGTTGGGAGTAGTTCCAGTATCAATGTACCACGGTATTTTTAGTACTATTCAATTAATATTTTATACTAAAAGAGTGAAATTTCTCTTGCATGAAAATAACACAAGAATTAAATAATACTTAATTAAGAACAGATAATACAAATTTCGGTTACATCTTTTATCAAAAACTACAGAACAGAAAGACTCAATGAATGCGGACAGTTTGCATCTTCTAACAATTATAGATTAAATACAATCTTTTATTGAATTATAAGATTAAACCCAATTAGAGAGATGGTATATGATAGGTTGTAACAGACTTAAAACATTCCCAGAAAACTTCAAAATGTCGCCATTGACACTTGGAAGTTTCTTCTCTACAACACGATATTTAAAGTTGTTAAATTATATACACAATTAAGTATTAAAACTTATACGAACTCAAACATGAAGAAACAATTTATGCGTTTTGAATAATTGCCAACTGACACGCAAACACTCTGCTATACAAACTAAATATTAATAATATTATTCGTGCGTGTGTATTATGAACAAGAAAAACAAATAAATACAACTGAATCGTGCAATTTATTTATTTTATACTTTCAAATAAATAAATTGAAATTCGTAAATAGTAAACTGACGGTGACCTGCACGATTCAATTAGGTTATAAACTTTATAATCTTGATCTTATCCTTTAAAATCATATCTTGAACACCTGCTAGTATACATAAAACAATCATTATTTATAGCGACATCGCCACAATGCCGGATTGCAATTTTTATAAATACTTTTAATAACTTTTTAGTTTATAATATATGCTCTCCGCTGCCTCAAATTAGTAGCGTTTTGCCCCTGTACATTATACTTTTCTGTTAGCAATAGAGTCACAGCGATCATCTATATAATATATTATTATAATGTATGAAGCTGTTGTAACACAGAGTCACTGAGAATAATGTAAGGGCATACAAAGTAACACGCGATATAACTAGTTCAAGAAGCAATCAATTAACCGTTAGTTCAGTTATAGAAATGGTTCTTAAACTTTTCCATTAGAGACACCAGATTAAATGTTATAATGACCTCTCGCACGCTTATGAAAAACCACTCACATATTTTTATTAAAAAAAGTGCTATTGTTTTGGGTGTTTCTTAGCAATTAAGGCAATGAAATTCAGTTTGTGCCAATTCAAGAATATATAAAACAATAAATTCGCATTTTAGGTTAAGAAAAAATTTCATAGAATTATGACTAAAAATTTAATATTTATACATTTATTCTTCTAAATGAGTTCAGTTTTTAATGACAAATGTGAAAAGTACTAAGGTACTAGGTTACAGTTTCACCAAACAATGTTCTGTTTATCTATTATAAAATATAATTTTTGATATTTATTACTTATCGATATTCGCTTATTTATTTGTATTATACACATAAATAAACTTTAGGGAGAGTTACCAACTAGCCCAACATCAAATTTCCATTGAATTTTATTAGGCATTTATCATAAAAATTATGCATAAACATCAAACAAATAAATTATCGAATATGCAAATAGAAGTAAATTTAAAATATTAGAAAATACAGAGTAAACCAAATATTAAATACAACAATAATAATAACAGCGGAGAAACATACAAGATGAAACTGGACAAATTTCTACTGTTATGTTCTTTTCCTATTGTCTGGACCGAAAGTAAGTAAATTGCTGTAAACATTTTTAAAAATAATTTATTAAAAAGCAGTTTAAATAAAAATATTATTAAAAGTGTCAGGTAAATTTTAAGTTGGAAATTTGTTATCATTTAATTTAATCTCTTTATATGTCATTGAATATATAATATAATTGCGAACAGTAACAATTACTCCTTTAGATAATAATATTTAAAATATGTAGTGCAATTTTCAATATAGTTTATAGATAAATATACACACATTGTTGAATTTTCCATCAAACAATTTAATAATTATATAGAGAGGGGATAGACGTTAATCGATGGGTCCAATAGGACTTTCAGCACTAAAAAGCCTGGAAGGAAAGAAATTTATATTTGAATAAGGAAATAATTGTCATATTTTGTGTAGAATACACAATATGGAGTTAAACATTTTGAGTAAATTGTGGATGTTGAGTAGTTTAATATTTGTTTAACTCTTGTTGGGTTCTCGGTGATGTCGATCTGACATCCATATCCTAAGGAAAAGATCTGTATATAAGATATTTAATATTTTGTGTTTTTCTTCGGTTATTTTAATTAAAAAACTGGCTTCCGGTATATAAATAATTGTGAAAGAAAACAAATATCTATATTAAAAACACTAATAGTAATTTTTCCTCTTCTTTTATACACTAAAATGATTACATTATTTACCTTAAATAGAAGATATAAGGTAAAGTTTTTCACGTATAACTTCTGAATTCTTCGTTTAATTTCGAATCTGTTTAAATCTTTGGATTCAGAATAAAAATCATTATAATGTTTTTTCAAAAAATCGTATAAATATTTAAAATTTTTCATTTGACATTGCATGAAAAATAACACCGCTTTTCTTCATTTTAGAATCCATAGACACAAGACCTGTTTGGAAGATTGCAGTATCACACGTAAGTAATTTGTCGTGAAAAATAATTTTACGTATTTTAAAAAGGATAAACTTGGAGTTATTTAGATTATTTAAACATTAAGTTTTCTGTACGGGCAGGGAGTATTTTTATATCGTGTTTACTTTCTTTCACTGGAAAGACTATGATTATAAGTAATAAATCACGAAGTTTGGGTATTGAGTATTAAAGAAATTGACTGTTATATTTGATGGCGGTTAAAAGGTCGACGGGGTGGGGAGATAAAGGGTTGTCATATGTCGTATCTGAAGGTGAGTAGAAGTTTATGAAGATTTCTCTCGCTATTACAATTTGCAATTTTTATAAAACTTATTTCTACTCTCGAAATTAGCGAAATTTGTTTTCCTTTTTGTAGTAGTAAACTACGAGTAATAGATTTTTGATTAGTTCTGAAATGTTTTAGACAATAAGACTTATAATGTACTCAAGTAATATTACGCTGCGATTATTCTGGAACGAGACACACTTGTTTAAGCAATTTCTATGTGAACGTCGAACAGCAAATAACAAAGAATAGATCTGTTGTTGCGTCAGACTTCTCTAAAACTCTCATTCGTAATGGCGGCCGCTCTGGCCAAGTCACACGTGTACTAGATAGTTCAACTACTTAAATTTAAAGAAAACCCTACTATTAGAGTGTATACATGTAACCTACAATTTAGAAATTAAAACGTTAGACTTAAAATTGTCGTCATTCTTTAATAGAAAGAGCACCCTTAAACTACAGACCTATTTAAAATCACAGAGTTCTTTTCTCCGTAAAAATAAATGTTTTAGAAACTGATATCTGTTAAACAGCATTTGAATGGCTACAGGAAATGTGTGTAATTCCACAGAAAAGAGTGTATTTTACATATACGAAATTTTCACGACATAAAAAATGACGTATTTAAGAATGCGGCAAACGAACGTCGAGACTATCTGTAAGCAAAGCGATGTAATTAAGAAAGGATTTTTGTGGTATATTTGGATTAATTGTATTATTTAACCTCCAAGATCAACAGTAATATACAAACAAGAAAAGATATGGGTACTCAGCGACATTTTGTTTAAAAGTTTCGCACGACTTCCCTACTTAAAACAAAATTATCGAATTAAAACCTGTGACAAATTCATGGGGTTTCGACGATAATTACATAATTAATAGATTTATTAATACAATTCATATGTACAGTACGTATCCCTATTTTCGGAATCAATGCCAAAAATCAGTGAGAATGGAACAAGAAAAAGAAATACGCAGTTATACCAACCAGGTTTTGGACCCGATCGACAGAGGTATAGTGTATATTAATTAATACGTGATAGTAGGAACGTGGGATATTATGAAACCCTTACTAAAACCAATTTGGTTTTTCATAGCAAATACACTTGTTCTAAATAGGTCTAATTGATGTATATAGAGGAAAAGCGATTACGTAAGTAAAAATTTCGCTTTAAAATATTTTAATAAATGGTTTCGTTTTAAAATACCTATTACTATTATTTATCAATTCCCGTAAATTCATAATCTATATATGAATATATGTATGTCTGGCTGTCTGTATGTCCTTCATGCATTACCACACCGTTTATCGGATTGCCATGAAACTTTGGGAAGTTGTTTAATATACTCTCGCGAAGGTTTCTGGCATAGTATATTTATCCTACGATAGATGGCGCGACTGTATACGAGCACTGTGTGTTCGATCGATATCAACTTGTTAAGACCATTTCCCTCCCTTCAAAAAATATTTGTATATATGCATTTGTGAACTGTTATTTACGATATTTGTAATAATTTTTGTTTAATCACTTTATTTCAACTATTTTTTGCTAATTATGTATTCGCTCGAAGTTCGTTTAAACCTTAACTGTATCCCGAACAACAACCGAAGTCGTAGGAAGAAATTCGCGTATTTTACCGATCCTGGGATCCCCCTTTTCCAAATTTTAATATCGACTCAAAATAATTTAAAAAGACAAATTACAATAAAACGGTTTATTATCCAACTATCAGAAATTTCACAACGTGCAAAGGAAGAGAGGAAGGAGCAATTAAATAATTAAAATTGTAAAGGATTAAAAATATATAGGGGAGACCAGGGCAAGTTTGTCAAGCGCTTTTTTTTAAAAACAAATTAAAAGGAGACTTTGGTTATAGGTTAGGCAGTGGAGTTTTATTGGTGGCTTGTTGAGTGTAGTGTTTTTATTGTTCTCCAACAAGCGTAGTTGAATTATCAAGCAAATTTTCATTTTCGTTCAATTCCATATAATATTTTGCTTCCATTTATATTGAATTGGCAGGTTTTGTTATAATTCCATGATAACGAAAGTTACTTTTCCTGTTAGAAGGATGTAACTTTAACTTATTCACGTGGCCAGATCATGGCTTGGCATTCTGTTCTCAGGGTTGTACTTAATGTTTCGAAATCATGACTAGCGGGGTAAGATCGGCAACATAAAGCCACATTAGAAGCAAAGGATAAAAATCAAACAGATGATAAATGAAAACATGTTTGCATTTGTTATTCATGTATATATGTCTTTGAACTTGCATTTCGTTGTAATAATATTAAATGGGTGTTGGATTTGTATTTCTTTGTTTTAATAGTGAATTCCAACTTATACATTGTTAATAACATAATTTTATATACGTGCCTATCTTGCCCCATTACTGTTGCCCCTATACCAGGGGCAACTTTAATAAAAATAATTAAAATAATTACAACTTTACAAAAAGAGAGAAGTTGCCGATCTTGCCCCTATACCCGGGGCAACTTCGTCAATTTCTCTCTTCTTGTAAAGTTGTAATTATTTTAATTATTTTTATTTCCAAACTGATTTTAACCAGTTCTATAGTAAGGTAAAATTCCAATAGACAATATGCAAAGCTTTTTTTTCAGTTTACAGCAGTATTTATTACACAAAATTTAAGTAAAGCTTAACATGCTGATCTTGCCCCGGTGTCCCCTATATAAAAATGGGGAATATCGCACTTCTGACAATCGCTGCAAGTGTGTGGGCTAAATTTGGAGAATCCGTGCTTTTCGCATGGACAACTGTATGTGGCCAGCTCACGCGTCCGGAAATCTTCTGATTTATTCGTGTACGCATCAGACGGAAAAACAAAGAATATCGTGTATTCACAAGCACTCCAATAAATAAATAGAATTGAAACGACGCTTTGAAATGTTTTTCCGTTGTAAATGGATAATAGTAATAATAATATAATAATAATAAGTTTCAATAGAAATGATAAAATGTAAATTGAATTTTATTATAACGAATTTGCTTGAATTTCGTTTCTTCTAAGATTGCAGCAATGCGCGACGGATAAGCTAGTAATATATAAATAATATTATTTTATATGTCTGAATCGTTTTTTTTTTCTTTGCAGATTGGATTGGCAATGAATTTCAGTTGTGAAGAGTATTACTTCAGTAAGTCCAAACAAAAGTCGGAAATTTTTTATAAGGCCCTGAAATTTAGGTAAAATTTTTTATAAAAAACCTTAGGCGCCATAAATTTATTAACTATAATTAAATTTAATAAGAGAAAGGGCGTAATGTCTTCTTCTAGAGACAAATTATTTAGTAATTAAATTTAAAATTGCGAAGTGTTTCTGTCATTGTACAATTCTTCGTTATATTTATCACAAAACAGTTTTATATTTTATTATTGTTATTACAGTAAAATATCGATTTAACACACCTCTATTTGGCAAACAATGGATTTAACAGACAGAATTTTCGTATGTCATACGTGAAAATTAACAGCCCATTTAACTTTAAATGCATTCTATACGCACTGTAATTAAGTTAACGAGCTATTTTTATTTTCTCACATCCAAGAATCACCACTGTTCGCTTTATGTCAGAACACCAGTGTCTTTATATATTGTGATCCCAAGACAAATAAATAAAAATATTTTTGTGCCTTTGTAAAATTTAAATTCCTGTAAAGACATTATGCATTTGTTTGGTTTAATATAATTAAAGCGTATCACCCAAACGATAATTTTTATTAAAAAAACAATTTTTTAAGAAAACTTCTTAAAAAATTAAAACACTTCAAAGATTAAGACAGAAAATAACCGTTAATTTTTAAAAGTATAACCGCATTTTATCAGAGAGAAAACTACTAAGGTTTACAAACTTTTGCATTTATTACATTACAATGCATCTCGGGTGCAAATTTTGTTTCATGCACTCCTCTTCGAGTAATACATAACTAAATTATGGAAAAATGTTACAAAAGTATTGCAAAAATCACAACATTCAAATGATTTACATTATAACGAACTGACCTCTTTCGCTGAAAAATACAGCGTTCCACTTTATCAATATCCTACCCTCGAGGCATCGTTTTAACAGCCTTTTGTCCGTTTTCGCGGTATTTTGTCCTTACCACGTCTGCCCACACGTCATCTTTCTCCATCCCATTATTTAGATTTTAATTTAATTTAATTTAACGTACTCACGCTCGAGAGTGCCTCGAGCAAGCTCCATAGCGTTACGAAAAACCGGTCCTTAACATCCCCTAAAAATTTTTTTGTGTTTTTTGGATTCTTGGAATGCTTTTTAGGTCCCCAAATTTTTTTAAAATTTTTTTCTTTCGCAAAAAAATTTTATTGCGATTTTAATGAGCCTTTGATAAGGTTCGATTAAGGCTTAATTGTTTTTTAATAGAAGTTTTTTTTATCAGATTTAACTAATCGTTCTAAAGTCGTAGTGCACGGATTTTCCTTCGGTAAAATTATATAAAGCTAGTTTCTGATGTCAAAAACGACCTCCGACAGTTTTTTAATTTTTTTAATTAATAGATTTTATTATATATAAATTTCATTAATTAGGGAGGTCGGAAATCGCAATTAAAATTTTAATTTTTTAAAAATATTTAAAAATATAGGTCGATTTCGTACTCACCCTACTTTAAACCCTTGTCCTCCCGAGACGTGTATGAGAATGTTCCGGAAAATCCAACTCCAGCTGTGTTCAAGGTCACCCAGCTGTGTAAACAATGACTCATTAGTGTTAAATTTCACAGAAAGGCGAGACAAAGGAAAATAAAATTTGAAGCTTTTACTTCAAAATTAACGCATTTCTTTCGTTTTTCCAGTTTTAAGTATTTTTTATGTTTAATTAAAGATATTTTAAAAAAATGGACATGAAGGGGTTAATATTAATATTATTTTTTAGTTTGGCTGCTAGTACTACACTATATTTTTTGAAAATATTTCTATATCTTTCGTATGTACTGCAGTGGCGTGCCGTAACATTAGATGATACGGAAGCTGTGTTTCTGTAAGAAGCCGACTTCCAGGGGCAATCAGTCGGCGATGGTCTAGGGCAGTGTTTCTCAACCTCTAACGAATCGTCGCCCCCTTCAACGTAGTATCGCCCCCTTAAATAAAACCGTTACGTAGTATCGCCCCCTTCACTACAAAATTCCGATGCCGAGGGACAAAGCTAACGCCAAATTCGTACTGCATTGAATAGACTAGTCACTAGTATAATGTTATTTGTTTAATTATTGTACGATATAATGAAAAAAAAATATCTAATTATTTTTAATATAATGTTTTACTATATCGCCCAGAAAATTGTTTTTCGCCCCCCAAAATATAAATTGTTACTAATCGCCCCCTCAACATGGAAAAACGCCCACATGGGGGCGATATCGCCCCCGTTGAGAAACACTGGTCTAGGGTTCATTCGTATTTGTTTGTTCGATAAGCCAGTAAAAACCGTAGACTTCTCTAATTGTATTTTTAATTAATAGATTATCTAACGCACTTAATAAATAAGCAAGTTTAATATAATTAACTCTGTTATATTAGATTTAATGGATTCCCTACGCTCTCTAAATGCCAATTCTCGCTTCGATAACATCTACTAATTTAAATATATCTATTAGCCGTAACTTTGTTGTAATTTTCAATATTCATTTTATATTGTGTACTAATGTTAAATTCTATTCTATTTCGATTTTCAAATTGCTTCAATTTTACGAAAGAATCCATGTGAGTTTTACGATTTTCGTGTCTTTTGCCAGCTTTACTCAAATTATTTAAATCCTCAAAGCCATTCTTATTCCACACACTAATTTCACTTGAAAATAATAGACAAGGCCAACAAAACAATTATTGCATTTTTATGCATCCACAAAGCCATTTTATGTCTTCACAAATATTATCGTGAAAATGTGGAACAAATTTTTATGTTGAAGTATTTATATTTAATTTAGGAATCGGTCTTTCTCTTTTAATGTTTTCTTTTTCATTGTAGAGTCTGGAGCCAAAACTTTTTTGAAATAAATTTTCAATATTGCATTTACATTCTAAATTGCTAGCCATAATATAAGGACTAAAATTAAAAATAAAATTATAAAAACTTACTTGTTAAAATAAAATGTGTGATGGATATACAATTATACATATCTGGTACAAAATATTTAATTGTACGAATATACTTTTAAAGAAAATTATAATTAAATATGGTTTTGTGAAGAAACGTACATAAAAATAACATAAAATATTCTTTACTTTTTAAATATTAAAACAGTCCGCTTAGTTAAAATTGCTCCCTACCAGTGGCTCATGGATGGAATCGGAGACGATCTTGATAGGTGTGCAGAGCGTGCATGCGTGCCAAATTCCGAGGCTGCCGATACCTGTTAATGTCAAATGCTTTTTTTGTCGCATCACTAGTATATCTCAAAGGACGCGACAGGGTTGATGTAAATTTTAAACGTTTCTCGCCGTAGCTGTAAAAATTTAAATTTGTTAAACTTAAAAGTCATTTGTTTTCTAACTAATTCATTTTAAGACTAGGTGTCCACGGAAATTTCCAAAATTTACAACTTTTCGCTCACTCTCGTCGAACTGGAAAAATTTTTCTCTTTATTACATTTAATACAGTATTTCGAAGAAATCAATCTCCATTGTACTCGGCTTGAGATTGGTTCGGTTAAGCCTTTGTTTAAATGAAATTTCGGCTCTTTCGTCAGGGTTTTGTTTATGTGCCCAATTCCCTAATCGCTTAATTATTTAACTACTTCTTAAGTAGAAATAAGTCGAAACCGGTTACTTTGTACTCGAATATTTGTAGTCTCGGGAAAAAGTGGAACGACAAATTTTTATGACAAACGGATACATAAATCGTAAATTTAAGGAAAATAAATTCTACAGCTTTTTCCATACCTCGCGCATCTCTCTCATTCGTTAAATTTAGTTGTAAATGACGCTGTCGAAGTAACGGTTAATTTTTTAACATTATACAAGAATTGTACGCGTTTTTTTCTACATCTCCTTAAAGATGAAATATACGAAATCGTAATTTCACTAGTTTAACATTGAAATCTGTGAGTAATATAAAATCGTAGAGCGGAATAAAAATATCAAATATTTTAGTGGATTTTTTAAAACTCCTGTCAACTATACAGAACTATCGTAAAAACGTACCAGTAAATTCTTATCGGTTGGGTTAAGTTATAGACTAAATCTACTCGTGATTCGCATAATCCAGCGAGGGCGACAAAATACTTAGCGGGTGGGCGGCTAACAGCCCGAAACCGGTCCTTGATAAAATTGGATGCATTATACGTGTAGCATCCACCCGAGGTCCTAGGCTTCCACTGGCTAAACCGGATGAGGTCGGTGCTCCGTAAAGCGCGTGCGCGAATCTGGCTTTTTTTATGCTGACGATACAGCGCTTCCACTCCGCCACTAATATTCGAATATAGAATAGCGATCTTATCTTTTTTTTTCACGTGTGGTATAGAAATTTGTAATAAGATACATAATGCGGTTATAATAAAATANTTACACATTTACGGTTAAGATCGTTTTTTCTCTAATTCGTTACATAACCGAAAGTAAACGAATTGAAATTTTTGTTAGTAAAAGAGCGTAATTTTCGTTACTAAGATTCAGGATCTCACATTCACATGTCAACTCAGAGACCACTCAGAAGACAATTCTACGTTATTTTAAACAATAAGGACTGAGTTTACGTTTGACACCACCATTAAAACTATTTTCTGTCGTTGAAGCATTAACTGGAGTTAATTTTAAGCAAAATAAGCTAAGAATTTCTCAGATTTTTGTACCACCACAAAAAAGCAGTGCATATAATATAAATAAAACCACAAACAATGCTAAATGTGGCTGCCCAATAAACTAGTCTAGTGTCCAGAGAATTGCTTGTTATTTCTTGTAATTTTTTTCGGATTAAAGGAGAAGATATACCAACAGTTGCCGGAAGTTCGATGGTGTACATGTACTAATAACGAAAAGAAATGTGTAAGTTTATTATTTTGTCACAATGTAGTTTGCAGATATTGTGGCAGTACCTATTGCACTATCTAACAAAACATTTCAACGTGTGGACTTCTCAGCAGTCTCGGATGTCGAACCAATTCATTTCTATATAAAACGGCACAAAAAGAAACTCACCTGGCAATCAGTTGTGAACCCGTTTACAAAACAGGTAGAAATTTCTTGATTAGTCGTATAGAATTTCTTAAAACGGGTGGGAAAATTTTTCCTGTAAAACGTATTATTTACTTTTCCTTCTTGTTCCATGAAAGGTTTGGTTGGCCTTGATCTTTACCATTACAATCTTTGGATTAATATTCCGGAAATTCGTGAAAGACAATAAAGGAGAACCATGGACTTTAAGGAGAACGTATTGGTATCTGATGTCAACGTTAATGTCTCAAGGTAAATCTACACAATATACACTGTTTTCTAATTTATAACAGTGAATTATAATTTTTTACATTAATATTCAGGAGTCGACAGCAACAACGTGAATCGTTTATCTTCTAGAATAGCATTTGGCATCTGGTTGCTTATGACAGCAGTCTTGATCTGGGGTTACGCCGGAATATTGACGTCATTTATGGCCTTACAAACTGATGAACCGGTTCCGAACACGTTTGACGAATTAGCAGAAGGCATTGAAAGACGAGAATATACATGTGTACTGATTCCGCATGTTTACTTAGATCGATATTTAAAGGTAAATAGTACATTTAAAAATTCTACTATTTCATTTTGACATTGTTTATTTTGACTGGGCTACAATTTAAAATTTATTGGGCTACAATTAGAAAAAATTGTTGACCTATAAATTTCCACTTTCCTCATTTGTCTATCTTTCCTTAATCTCGAGAATGGGATTAGAGAGATGAAATCCAACACCAGATATGAAAACCGTTGGGGCAGGAGGCCCCGATTTACTGTATACGAACTTCCAATGCAAAATCACGTTATTTTACCCAAAGTTTTTCCCTGTAACCTCTTGAGATCCACAACTGAAAGATACTATTTTTTTATTGAAGTATTGTTATGCTTTTGACCTTTAAATATCACTTATTAGTAAATTGTAATTTTTCTAAAATATTTTTGTTCTGGTAATTAAAAAATGGTACGTGTCATATATAACACTATGGTTCTCTACCTATACAAAATGCAAACTTTTCCGTTCATGTAAAAATGGTTTATTTTACTGTTTTTGTACATTATTTGACATTCTATATTTACATATGATATACTTTGTAACCATTTTTATTTTACCAAGGAACAGATGTATTTTGCAGTTGATACAGTACACTGTAGCTCATACATTTTTACATTCTTTCATTGGACAGTGGTAATTTTTGCAATTTACAATGATTTCTGGTATGTATTTTGCTTTATTTTTGCATTGTATTTCGCTGGGATGCAAAGTTTAATAATTTTTTTTCGTCATTTTTATTGATCCCTTTTTTCTTATTGCCTGTACTGTCTGAATGTGATAGCGATTTTGACACTTTTTTAATTCGTTATTTGAGCAGACTAATGACTTACACTCTCCAGGACAGTCTGCTCAAAGAACAAATGTTTTGTCACTGTCTTTATCACTGAACCAGCCTTCCACTTTAGAGAGATTTCTATCAATATCATGTGTCCTATCATGTTTCTTATTTATTTCGACTGTTGACAATGAGAAATTAAAACTAAATCATTGACATTTATTATAAATATGTGATTTATGATATTAAGAATTTATAAGTTTTTNGTTGTATTATCATTAAAAGAAAAATTAAAGTATTTGTTTCGATTATCCGGATTTTTCCTTATCCGGACTACCTTCATCCCCAATTAGTCCGGATAATCGAGGTTCTACTGTATTTGGTATATGTACTCAAGTTTTCAAATAAAACAACAAATAGTGTAAAAAGTGTTTATTTCTTTGTAGACAATACACAACCCCAATCGACTGGAAAACTTTCTTGTCTACACCATTAGAATGTACTATTTGTCACTTCAAAAATTAAGATGATTTCCAAAATTTCAAAAATAATTCAATGATATATTATTTCAAATTGTGAAACAAATTTTTTACTCTGAAATAATTCCATTAAACAAATTTTATTTTTAAAATTATTTACTCAACAAACTTTAAAAATTAATTTTTGTGATTAGAGTGTGTCAAACCACTATTACTTATATAAATTTAAATAACCGATGTGACTAAGTCTTTATCCGAAAAACTCTCACTTAAATCATGCGAAAAATTATGATCGAAGGGGCATCGAAAAAGAGTGTGGTTTTGGGGTACGTAAGAGATTCTGGAATAGAAGATATTCCAGAAACCATCGACCAAAATTGGAATTATCCCAGAAACATCGTATTTTTGCCCCTACTCGACGACTTTCCCTCAAAAAGCTGACAGACTGGAATAAAAGTCATAAACTTTAACTTTTACAGTTATCTCAGAGGCTACCAATCCTATATTACTTATAGCTAATGAACCATACTCATAGATGTCACATGATTACGCGCTGAAACCTTTGTTTTAACAGTTCTACTTTAATGGTAATGAGACATAAGGTTGTGGTTATGAACAGACAAATTTATGTGAACCGCAGGGGATGTCAGGAACCGTCGACTCTCCCTGTACGGACAACAGATCGTAAAATCTACTCACTGTCAAAATAACTTGTTTTACGAAAACGGTCCCTTTGGTTGGAACTCAAATGTCAGGAGTGGCGGGAGAGAATTTTGGAGTCGATTATAAGGTGAACGGAGTAATCGAGTAAAAGAGTCTACTATATTTAACCAATAAAACAACAATTTTTTAAACTATGCAAAATGGACAACAAGACTACACAAATAGCGTTTCTAAACCGCCTAATTTCTCGAGAGAAAGTTTCCACGCTTATCGTACCTCTTTGTAGGTTCCTTGACGCGTAAATCTGTAGAAGCACTTAATTGTCCAAAAAAAAGTGAGTTTTATCCAATCGAGCACAATTATAAAACGTTCGGGGAGATTATCCACATTTTGAATAAGATAATTGAATCCTTTTTCTTTTATAGAATTATCGCAGAGAAATTTGCATGTATTGTCAGGATGATCAGCTATTGGATGCTTTTCACGTGATTGCTAAATGCTCTAAGTTAGAAAAAATTCGGGAAAGTGTGTTTGGAAGTTCTGTTATTCCGTTGGAGAATTTTTTGGAACTTATAACTAATTTAATGACCCCTTGTACGGAGTGACGTACATCGTTGTTTATTTTGCATATTGGAGTACTGTATTCGTTTTTGCCGAAAGGTGGCATTTGTTTTTTCCTTAAAAGTGTGCTTGTGGCTAAGAAGTGTTGGGAGACTATCCACATTTTGAATAAGATAATTGAATCCTTTTTCTTTTATAGGTAAGTTTGCTTGTTTTGTTATGTCTCAAGGCAGAAAGAGGAAGACTTATTCATCGACTATACGGTAGAGAACACAAAGTAGACGTAGAAGGAGTAGTTAAGGTCAGGAGGAGGAAGTTACCGAATTACTGCAAGATTCGGATTCTGATGTATCGGAAAGTGTTCGTTTATTATTACGTATGCATGCTGCTCTTAATGGCAAGGTGGAGGATTTTATAAAGCGACTCGACCATCTTACGGAATGGCTTAAGAATGTGGATGAGGCACTTGTTGATTTTGAGGTTAGATAAGTGGATATTGAGGCCAGGATTGGTTCGGGCGGATCGGAATCAGTGAGTTCTTCTCTTATTGATAATATTAGTATGAAAGTGTAGAAAATGAAACGAGAGATAGATTACACGGATAATCAGCGAAGAATTAATAATATAATAATACATGGTTTGGAGGAAGGGGCTGGAGAATCGGCTAATGACTG